CCGTGGCCCATTGAAACACCACGTGCCCCGTGTAGGCCACCAAGGGATCACACAGCAAACCCATCCTGAACGAATGGAGCCTGAGGCCTAAACTACAGCCCTTGGGGAGGCGACCGATACTCCGAGCAGCCGAAACTCGAAGACCGTGCATCGCAGACGGGGGGCCCAAGCAGGAGCAACTCAGCCGAGCTCGTCGCCCCACTGCAGCCGGCTATAACTGAGCCGTTCGCGCGCGCGATGCTGGGCACCGCGCCGCCGTGGAGCAGCGTGCGAGGGCATGCGTGCACCGTGCGCAGGCAGCGTAACAGCCGAATGGGGAACTCGAATCTGAGAGCAGCTTGGCACAGATCCTCGTGGCCAATGTGTTCGTAGAACTTCGACAGATCTAATAAAGCGGTTCCAGACTCGAACCCGACACTCTTACAGTAACTGCCCAGAAGGTTATGTATCCACCCCGCCCGTTCACACGTGGTGGTACTGCTAACGCCCCAGAACGCATCTTCCATGTGCGCCTGCTCCCACTTTTTGAGCAGCGGTTGGCGGACCCTGGACCATATCTTCGCGAAGAACGCCAAAAGTCCAATGGGGCGAACCCCCCAATCACTCTTATCGATGAACACTATATTCGTCATGCACAACAGGAGGTCTTGCGGGGCCCTTTCGAACTGATGCAACACGTCGACCAACCGAGCAACATATTCATCGCTTAGATCAAGAACCCAACGCGGATGGAAACCATCCCACACCAAACCGCACCTCCTGGCATACCTCTTACATGCCCTTCGAAACTGGTCAACCGAGATGGGCGGCAACTCGGGCTCCTCGGGTGGGATCGTCCAAGACGACGGGTGATGGGCCCCTCGGCCCGCTGCAATCCAGAGCGGCGTCCAGACCTGCAGAAGAAAACTGAGAGCCTCTTGCCCGCAAACAAGGTGGCCCGATTCATTCAGCAGGGGCGTGGGGCTCGACAGGGTTCGCCTTGAAAATGCACGCGCTGCTTTGCCTCCTCCTTTGACAGACCCCACCGCCCACTCCTTCCACTCCTTCAGACTTTCCTTAGCGTCCTGCTTCCTCCGCCTGCAGACCTCCTTGTCTAACTCCTCCAGCGCCTCCGAGTCCCCCTGGAGCTTTCCCTCTGAAGCGTCCCTGGCGAGCTCCACGAGCACCGAGGCAGAGATGACGCCCTCGACGGGCTGCGTGCTATCTATCATGCGCTCCAGCTTGGCACGCCAGCTGGAAAGAAACTCGCGGCCTCGACGGCCGACTGCACCTGCGGCGGATTGACGGCAGCGCTGAAGCAGGGCCTGAAAAGCAATCCCAGAAGTGGTGGAGCTGGAGAAACGTCGCCTCTGGTCCTTATCCCAAAGAGCCCCAAGAGGAACTTTCTCCATCCTGGGCCCTCGGGCCCTACCCGTGTAGCACTTGGTGTCCGACTCTTCTATCCCGTGGATGTGG